GAATTAGGTTACACAAATGAAAGTTTACTCTTAAGCAATATTATGCACTGGGTTTGTGTAAAGAAAACGTCTTACATGATAATGTAAAAGCACTAAGTGGATACTTGTTCTTTCTGCAAGTGAAACACACTCCTACAGTACAACCATTTCGAGTTAGAGCTCTCTTTCTGCCAAAGGGAGTGTGAAACGTCTGTGATTTCTTCACTGGGAGGTACAGTAATACTTTTGGCATCTGTTCCTTAAGGATCTGCAGGCTGGAAGTGAGTGCAAGCAGAACTGTCCCCTTCGGTGGGCCTCTTTTTTTTCCTTTTCCTTAAGCAGCTGGCAGCCTGGGTCTCTTCCTGTAGGATGAGTGTGAATTACCGCCACTCTGTGCCAGGGAACAGAACAGCCGCCTTTAAAGGGTGTGCAACAACCAAAAATACTAAGAAAGAACAATGCATTTTAGCTACCTTTGAACTGGTTCCTGAGGAGGACTGAAACAGTGCTTTCAATTAACAAACATTATTTAGAAGCAAACTGAAGCAGACTTTCAGCTAACAGTCAGGATGTGTGTGGTTTTGGTATGACATCCATCTGAGCACATGATGCTTGGTAAGTGCTGGAGCCTCGGTTATGATTCATTGGGGAGAAACATGGAAAACAATGTCTGTTTCTCAAGTGTTGGAGAAGTGAATTTAAGGTTGGAATGGTGTATAATTTTGGTAAGACAAACCTGCGAGTAGCTCGAATACCTCTGTTAGAAGGGTGATGGGTTACCTGCGAGTAGCTCGAATACCTCTGTTAGAGGTATTCTAACTGGCTGATGTAACAGCGTCCCGCTGCCTCATGTTTGCTCAGGTTCTTGCCAATATTAATTGCTAGTTATTTTTTAAGCCAGTGGAGATGCACTGGCATACTCACCACTGAGGATGGACTCCAGAGTTACATATGCTGATTTTGAAGACAAAGTGAAGTCAGGGGATGGTAAAGCTGTTTGGACAGCTGGATTTATTTGTAGTATATATTTTTAAATTATTTTTCAAACATGGTCAGAAATCCTTCTTTGTAATTTTCTGCTCTTTATGTTTGAACTAAGGGATGCGGCTCTGTACTTGTTCAGTCCATCTGGAATTTTTATGCTAATTCACTTCAGTGAAATATAATTATCTTCAAAGACATGCAATTTTGATTGCCCTTTCAGACAAAGCATCTAATATCAAAACAAGAATGACTTCTCTCAATAATAATAGTAATTTTAAAAAATTGTAACAAACTTTCAGCTTCTAATAGAAAATTATTTTTAAAGTTACATTTTAAACTAAAATTATTTCATGATATGAAATTGAGGAATACTCTATAAATAATTTTATGTACAATTGTTTTACAAGTGGAGTCAGATGTCTGTAGGATTTGCTATTTATATTTAAATAGGAGGGACTCAGAAGTGCTGGTGTATTTTCACAAGGGCAGAGCTATCATGTTACTATTCTGCAGGGTGCTGTAAATTTTTCAGCTGGGCTCTGAAAAAATAGTATCTGATGTGGAAGTAGAAGCTTCAGGTGTTTTTAAATTTTTTGCTAAGACTACATAGTTGGAGGTAGATGAATTCAGGAGAGGATTTTTGAGGAGTGGAGTATAAACTGTTCCCTGCCCGGAAGAGGAGTTGTTCTAATTTAGGAAGAGGGAATTATTTGCCTACAGAAAGGGCTAGGGTGTGGTCTGCTGAGATTATTGAGATAACTCAATAATTTTAGGTATCTTTAGGGAAGGTCTGCCTACTGTGCTGTGCTTCCTGGCCTCAGACTCATCCCATTTCTCAGTTTGTTGGTCCCTTTTTCCAAAAATCTTTGCAGAAAAGTTCACTTCTCTATTATTATTTTCAGCAAAACTACCAGTTCACCAATATTTAGGGCTATGACTTTAAACAAAAAGTGAGGAAGAGTGAAATAGGTGCGGTTGTGTAAAATGGAAAATTTCTTTTGCTTGGGAATTTCAGTAGGTTTGTTCATCACTGCTCGCTTGAGAGCCCCGCCTCCCTCCCTCCTTCCCCCCATAAATGCAGCACTAAGTTGTTGTTATCCCAGTTTTAAGGAAAAAAAAAAAAAACCCCTCAACTGGTCCAGCTACATTTTTTTTGTTTCATTTTACAAGTATTTTTGGTGGAGGAAGCAAAGTTTTTCCTTTGAAAATCAGCTTGTGCTTATTAAAATACAATAATTCTGCACAGGATTTGGGGGGTTTTTGAGGCAGTGAAAAGCAGGAATCTACTGGAGCTGTATGTGGTGTTGCAGCCTCCAAACGGTTATTTAAATTGTAGTAGACAAGATAATATTTAGTTGAAAACTAAGATTTTTGGCTCGCAGCCACCGAAGATACTGCATTGCAGCAAGAAGAATGAGCCACATCCACGCGGCGTTGCCTTTATCACTTGAACAATGATTTTAGCAACCTCTTTTCATGTTGTTATTTCCCAGGCTATCTAATGGCTGTTGTCCAGGTACAAAAACAGTCTGCAAAGGCGTGCTATTTATGAAGTCCCATGCTTGCTTCCTAAGGGGTGGTGAAGGATTAGTTTGCTGCGTTCAGTGGCCGTTTCAGTACTGTAATTCAAGATGGGGCTACTGTACTTTAAATATAGAGTCTGTTGTGCTGCCGCTAAGTCACACATTTGCATCAGTCATTAGCTCAGGGCAATGCAATTCTAAACTTCTTTCTTCCGAATGCTGATACTGCAGAGTCGGCTGGTGAATGGAAATGGTACCAAAGCTGGCAAAAGATGGAAATGTAGCACTGTGAGAATGTACTTCCTGGTGGTTTGAGTGCTGCTTTATTGTGTCTAAATCTGACCTATAAAGGAGGATTCAAGAAACACATGATTTTCAGAGAACATCTTGAGCACCAGCTGTGAAACCTTAAAGTTAGATTTTATGGTCAGTTCTGCTAATCTGCAACTACTAATTTGTAATTAATTAAAAGCGAGAAGCAATAGGTGGGGGGGCAGAGCGGGGGCATCTGAAGGGTTAGAAATTGTATTGTTATTCTGTTGGCTGTTCCCTCCTAAGCATGTCAGGGGAATTTGGCATAGAGAGTAAGCTGTGTCCCGAGGTTCTCAAGTCACTGGTTGCCTGGTACCGTATTAACCCTAACTTGTACCGTGATAAATGAGTTTTGATTCAGGCAGCAATAGCAGATTTCAAATTTAAACAACCAAGGGACTCTCAAGCAGGCGGAAGAACAGCACTGGAGACTTGAGATGAGTTCAGCAAAGGTCCTGCTCCTGAAGGCAGCAGAGATCTGCACCCTCATCTCAAGAAAGATTACAGCTTTTCTAGCTCTTGCATGAGAAGGGGCCACAAGGATGACAAAGATACGGAACAGGTTTTATTTGGAAAAAGTAGTACCCTGGAGAAAAAAGGGTGTTGAACAGAGATGAATTCAGGAGTGATGTGAAGATGATAAGCAGGGAGCAATGGCTTTCTCTCTCCTAATACAAGAACCAGGGCGATAACAGACTAAACTATTAGATTTTAGGTGAAAAAGAAAAGGTACTTAACAAAGCATGTAGTTTAAACTGTGGAATCCATTCCCACAGGATGTTGTTGAGTCTGAAAGTTTACAGGGTCTTAAAAGGCACTTAAATGCTGTGGGACCAGCCCTGACTCCCGGGGCAGGGCTATGGCAGAGCATCCCCCCACCCTGTATGGGGGCTTT